AGCCAACTTAAAAAAGCTCTAGAACTTTCTATTAAAAGCTAACGGTTTTAGTAGAATTGGAAATATGTTACGATATACAAAAAAAATTATGTATTATTTGGTAAGTTTAAAAAAAAAATTCAATTATTTAAAATTATTGATAAATGTTATTTAAATAGTCAAAAATTTACTCTTATCAATTAAAATATAAAAGAGAAGAGAAAAATTATCATTTTGAATAGGTTTTAAGTTAAAAAAAAGGTTATTTATTATGCAAATTGAAATAATTTTTATTTTTCTTTTATTAATTTAAATTTTGGTTTATTTTTTAATAATTTATTAATTATTGTATAATTTCATATTTTGATATCAAAGTTAATATTTATTTTAATGTTTTTTGTACTCCAATTCTAGTACATCAACATACTTTTTGTAATTTAAAGTACTAAATTAACTTATAAGTAATTTTTAAATTCTAAAACTAAATATCGAATACATCAGAATAAACAAAAATCATATTTTCAAATAAACATTACCAGAAAATTGTGTATAATATTTATTTTCACAGTCAATTAAATATACAAAGTTTTAATAATTTAGAAATATAAACATATATGACACATTAAGAATTTAATGTTTAATTTCAAATAAATTAATGTAAAATTTTATAAATAAGTAACAGTAACAAAAACATTTTTTATAAATTTAAAATTTTTGGTAAATTATATTCAATCAAAAAAATTTTTTTTAAATGCATGATTTGAAGCCGAAAATCATGTTAAACTGAATTGTTAAAAATATTTAGCAACTGTTTTTGAAGCACTCGATGAAATCGCAACCCAGCAAGGAACAGTGATTGAACCTGGTAAGCTAAAAGACCAGTCAAAAAATGAAGAAACAGGCCACAGCCAGTGAGCAGGAACTCTTACAATAGATTCACTTCTATATGACCATATTAAATACATGAGAGATGCAATAATGACGACATAAAATATTGTCACTAATACATATCTTATTTTCATCATTTTGAATGCTTTATTTTTTACTGAAAAAGTAATAAATTAATTAATTACATGGTATTTTTAAAAAATGTTATGAAAAATATATTGAAATGTATGTCAAAGTAAATACATAAAAATTATTTTTATTTGGTAGTTATGGAATTTTAAAAGAATTAAAAATTCCAAATCTTTTTTAAAATTAAAATTATTTTTCTCATATCGTTAAATTTAATAAAAACAAAAATTTCTAAAGGTTAGTAAACCGTTTATTTTTAAGTAAATCAAATTGAAAAATTTTTTAATTATATAAATTTCCATTAAAACAAATAAAATTAAACATTTGTGTTATAAAATTATATTTTTCAATATCGTCTAAATCCAACTATTTTAAAATTAACAGAAACAAGTATTTTTTTCTTATTTATATATAACATATTTTAGAAATTTCATTAAGATTTAAATTAAAATTTATTGAAGAATTTTAAACAATTTTCAGTTGATTATTTAAACGATATGAGTAATTCTTCAAAATTACAAAAAAAATTTAAAAATAATACCTAATTCATTTTTTTCTCCTTGTAACTTATTTATTTTTCTTTGCAATTTTGCATGCTTGGCAAATTCATTCACTTGTGATATTGATTTAAGTTCGTTCTCCATTCCCTTAATTTCATTTTTCAAACAATTTACTTTAGAGTCTTGAGGTAGGAATTTTAATATCTGAAATTAATTAAAATGTATATTATTATAAAATGTATATATTCAAAAGTCATTTAAACAATATTTTACAGCAGTTTTGAATTATTTTAAAAATACTCATTTACTATATATATATATAAAAAATAACACTTTAAATTTTTTCATTCTTACCCAAGAAACAATACGAATTTTGTATGCATTAATAAAGGTTATTAGAGTTAAAATAAAAAATAATGACATTTTTGTTAATATATTTATTTTAATAACATTTTAAACGGCCATTGAATGTAAACTAACCATAGACATAAAGTCTCAGTTGAAATTCTATGTTTTTCTGTGCACTTTTGTCTGATGACGCAAACGTAAAATTTTTACCATTTAATTTTAATTTTAAACCTCAATTACAAATTATATTTTATTGGTAAACTATATTTACTTGGTAAATGACAAAAATTTAAATAGTTGTAAATGTGGTGAAATCATAGAGAAAAAAGCGGTGAATTAAAATTTGAAAAAAATCTAAAATGGCGGCGAGAATTACCGCGCCATCCGTAATCGGCAGACGATTCATCCGCAGTAGTAGTATGTAAGATGGCGGCAAGTCATGTAGTAAAGTGTCGGAAATTTTGTTATATTATCGATGTTAGCCGCGTTTACTCATTACCTACAATTTTATCAAAACCAAATTTACTTAAGGTATTGAATATTTTACTTAATTTATTTGTTTCATTTAAAAAAAAACTATGATTTTACCTGTAATTATTCATTTAAACCCGGCTCATTAACGTCCCGGGCAGCCTTTTTGACCCCGATCAGAGAGGTTGATAGCCAGGCTCCTTTTATAAATAAATCAAACTATTCATAAAAATAAAATAAATTATTTTTATAAATTACATAATGGATTTTTTAAAAACTATAGTAATATTCATTCCATCTATGCCAATATTATTTTGTGACATTTTTAATAAATGATGTATGATAAGCAGGTAAAGGTAAATTGATTTCTGTATATGAATAATATTTTGATTTTCAAAATTAATATTAACAATAATATTTTTATTCACTCTCTAACATTTAGAATTTTTCAATAATGATAATGTTTTATTTATTAAAAATATTGTGATGTTACTATCATATTAAAAAAAATATATATATAAACTTCATTATTTCTTTTTTAATTATCTCATATTCATATTTTTATGATTATTGAATAATCAACTTAACCTAATAACATGAAAAACTATATAATGTAATAAAAGGTAGTTAAAAATTTTTTTGTTGTTTTTATTATTGCTAAAAATATTATTAGTAATAAAAATTTTATCAGAGAACAGTGGATAAATATATTTTAAATCATATTAAAGCATTTAAAAATTTTAATTACAATTTTTTTGACCACTTAATAATATACAGTTTTCATTTTAAATTTTTTATAGGAAATTAACAATGAAAATTAGATTTTTCTTTTACAAACGTAATATAATAAAGTTAAAATTATCACGTTAGTCCCTCGAAAAAAAAAAAAAAAATGAATATAATTTGCGAATTGATGAATTCAATTATTTATCTTAATTAGAAAATTTAAAAACCTTTATCGTTTTTTTTTTTTTTTTTTTTTTTTTTAAATACAATTAAACCAGTGTATTCAATTGAAAATTTTATTGTATTGTTTTTCCCTGAAAACAAAGAAAAATTAATTTCTTTTATTTTTCTTCAAATATTAGATTTTTTACTCTCGTTTCGATTTTCGTTCGATTTGATGTATTGCAGTAACTGAAAAAAAATAAAAATTTTAAATAATATTTTAAACATAACCGGGAATAATTTTATTTTATTTTAATTTATTGCTAAATCGAAAATTTAAAGGTATCTTCGATTACATAATTTACGATATTTCAGGCTTATTCAAAAAAAAAAAAGATAAATAAGTAAAAAAAACTTGCTTTTAGAGAATTGCATAACGAAATGTTATTCTTAAGCAGTCAAACAACTTTTTAAATGCTCTATTAGCTTTAAAAAATACATAGAAAGGTATTGAACCATATGTACATATCGTTTTATCTTTAAAAGAACTTATTTATTTTTATTTCATTGTAATGTTTTTTTTATGAATTGTAATCATAAAAATAAAAATAAAAATAAAAAACGCATGAATATGTTCATACTTAACGTTTTAATCATTTTTATAATTTTAATTTAAAAAAAAAAAAAAAAACAAATAGAAAAAAAGAATTCTTTTAACTTAATAAAAAAAAATTTAACTCAGGAGTTCGTTTCGTAAAAAAAAAAAAAAATTAATTAATGGGGGGGAAAAAATTTAAAAATAAATGACAAAAAAAATAATAATAATAATAATAACGCACTTGCCTTTTCTAAATTTAATTTAAAATAAATATTTTTTATTCTTTTCATGCTTCAGCTTGCACCTCAATACTAGTTTTATTTCTAACTTAAATGATTCGATTGTTATTATAATCATCAAACAGCATTCAGGTATTTTGAATGCGGTACCTGGCGCGCTCTTTAGAAAAAAAATATAACTTTTTTTTTTTTTGTTTATAAAATTTAATAATGTTTACAACAATAACAACAAAAAGTAAAAAGAAAATTATTATTATTATTTTAATTAATTAATTAATTTCAGTTGTTGTTTTTTTTTTTTAATAAATTATATTTAAAAAATTTTTACAATTATGAACTTAAAGATTTTTTATAATTTATAATAATTTGTATTTTAAGATAATAATTTATTTTTGAATAACAATAGTTTTACCGGGGGAAAAAAAACGAGAGAGGATGAAAAGAAAAAAAAGTTTTTCCGAAGGTATCAATTGTAAAGGAAAAAAACAAAAAAAAAAAGAAATTTCTTTTATTGATAACTTGTATTATATTATCGCTTTGTCGTAATTTTTATTGTATTGTTTCATTA